TGGGGCAGCCACAGCTTCTCTGGGCAACCTGTGCCAGGGCCAAACCACCCTCACAGGGAAGAATTGCTTCCATATATAGCTCTGAAAACTCCAATTACCACATTAAATCCGAGAATGATTCATTTCCAACACAAGTTTTACGACTGGAATTTTGGGGGTTCAGGTCTGGAACAGCCTGCCTTGGCACAATTCCAGCCTATTTTTCTCCTCCAACACCAGGATTTCGTGCGCAGAGCTGCAAAGAGCGAGTCGGGCTGTTCACCGAGCGCCAGAACAAACCACGCTGGGGGGACTCGAGAGCTTTAGGCTTTGGCTTTAAGAAATCAGGAGCCAAAAAAAAAAAAAAAAAAAAAAAAAAGAGAGGGGAGGGGAGGAGGCTGTGGCTGTCGGCCGTGGGATGCGCCGAGCCGAGCTGCCCCCTGTCCCTGTCCCGGTGGCCGTGCCCAGGTGAGCCGTGCCCAGGTGAGCCGTGCCCAGGTGAGCCGTGCCCAGGTGAGCCGCGCTGTGCCACCCGCTGTCCCCGCACCCCGCCCCAGGATGCTGCGGCCGCCGCCAGCCCCGCCTCGCCGGTAGAGCTGCGGAAGGTAACGCTGCCGCCTCCTCCTGCTCCTTCTTCCTTCTGGATTTCGCTCGGCGTTCCTCTCCCCCCGTCCTTCTCCTCCCTAAGGCTCCCGTCTCCTCCCCGCGGGTCCCTCCTGCTGCGGCTGAGCCCGGTGTGTGTCACACCCGCGGGGCTGGGGGTTTGCCTGGCAGGGGATTTAGGGGTTTTTTAAGCGTTTCCCGGGAGCCGAGGCCGTTCCCATCTCCGTCCCCGGGGCTCAGATGTGTCCGTGTCCCCCGGGCCGCGGGTTTGGGGCCGGTTTTAAGCAAACCCCGTCAGCAAGCCCTGCTTTGGGAGCCGCCGGAACGCGCCGGCAAGTGCGGCTGTTTCCCGGGCCCGGGCTTAAGACAGTGGGAATCCCCCGGGTCATTCCGGGATCGGCAAGGAGCGGCTGTCCTGCCCCAGCCTCCTGCTCCCGGCCTGGCTTTTCCCGGGGGGAAGCGGCGAGCGGGGTCCGAGCATCCCTTTGCCCGCGGCTGCCTTGGGGCTGGAGCGCTCGGGGCGGTTTTCAGACGCGGAACTCCCTGGAAACACTCGTCCCGTTAAACCTTTGGCTCGGAGCTTCAGTCTTCTTGTTTCATAGGCAGATCCTTAAATGAAACTTGGTGCCCTGAGCAGCAACAAAAGGTGAAATTAGGAGGAGTTTGGATGTCCCGCCGTGTGTTCGGAGCGAGGACCCGGCTCCCATCCCGGCTGTCCGGCGTGCCCGCATCACCGCGGCTCCCACCGGGCCACCAGGGAACCTGGTGGGCGAGCAGCTGCCCCCGCCTTTGGGCAGTGCCAGGGGATGTTCCAGAGCAGTTCCCGGTGCTCCGACCGCGGGGAGGTTTGAGCCCTTCTCTCTTGCAGCTATTCAGCCCTGAGGGGTGGGGGATTGTTGCTCCCGCTTCCTTGCACAGCTCCTGCTTCCAGGAACCAGCTCCGGGAGCTAAAAGGAAACAGCGAGGTCTGAAATGTTGGTATTGACAACATTTGACAATATCTCGCCTGTGGTGAGATGATGCTTTTATTGAATTTGAGAAGTTGCTACTGTAATTAATAAAGCTTTTTGTTTTATTCAGGGCTCAGAGATGGATTCACCAGAACGAGCCACAATTAGAAGTGAGCAGAAATCCAGGTAACTTGTGTTGGAAAGGTTATGTTTATGTGTCTGTGTGTCTATGTACACACATATATGTATTTATTTAAGTGTCTCAATGACAATCTGAAACCACAGGGGGCATAAACTACTGAATACTGGATACAAGAACATCAGGCATGAAAACTTGAAGTGATTCCAGTAACTAGTTTCTCCACGGACCAAGTGCTTCATGCTCAGATAAGCCGTTTGTGAGGAATGAATAATGAACTTCCTGAGAGGAAACAATTTGGGCTGAACGTAGCAGGCAGGGATGGGGGGTCATCAGACGCATTTTCTTTGTAGGCAGGAGCTGGCAACCCTGTCTGCAATTATTTATTGCTTTGCCTGAGGCCATTTCAAGTTAAACACTGTAGTTTGAGTTAGACAGTTTCAGGTGCTTGTGAAACAAGAGGTGTTAAACATCCATGTCAGCAGGAATTGAAAGATCTGTAAAGGTAGTTTACAGTGTTTAGTAAACTAGGTAGTTTAGGTAGTTTAAAGTCAGGGGTGTTTTGAGATTCTGTGTTACTGAAATCCCTGTTTGTACAGAAGTGATTTCGCTGTATGGTTTAAAAGCATTTTCACTTCTCTGCTGAGTAATCAAGAAGGATTGTCCTGACAGTTCCCTGTGCTGGTTTGTGCAGGGAGTGTGGACACAGCACAGATTCACCTCTGAGAGGGATCTGTGGGTAGTAACGTCTGAGCAGTGGGTTGGATGGACCCTTGATCTGAACCAGCATGACTGCTGTGCTCACATATCCTGCACTGAGCACAAATGAGGATGAAGATACTGCTGCTTCCCAGGAAGAAAATAACGAATAAAAATCGTTTCTTTGAAGCATCATGCCTTCAGGATGGGCAGGAAATGCGCTGTGCACAAGGAATCTTTGTTTCCTGTTTTCCAGAAAGTTCCTGAAGAGCCTGGTGCGGAAGCAGCCGCGGGAGCTGCTGGTGGTGCTCGGGACGGGCGTGAGCGCCGCGGTGGCCCCGGGAATCCCGGCCCTGTGCTCCTGGAGGAGCTGCATCGAGGCCGTGCTGGGAGCAGCCGAGCAGCTGGAGGTGCTGCACCCCGGGGACGTGGCGGAATTCCGCAAGAAGGTCACCAAAGAGAGGGACCTGCTCGTGGTTGCCCACGATCTCATCAGGAAGATGTCACCGGTGAGCGTGTCTGTGACCTCTGCTCGTTTCTAAAACTACCTTGTGCTTTTATTCGGTTACCAACAAAAACCTGTGTCCAAAACTTGACCTTTTTTCTGGTGAAAGTGGCCATTTTGTGGGCAATCACATAACACACCGTATGTTTTGGAGAGCCTAAAACATCCCTGGGTTTTAGTGTGAGTCAGCTTTCATCAGAATTAATGCAAGCAGGAGTCCTGACTGTTAAATATTCGCTGTGATTCACTTCTGGGGAATGAAAGGGGAATTTGCAGCTCTGTGGAAAAAACTAGGAGGACCCTGAAAATACAGGTAGGCCCTGACCCTACTGATGGCCTTGGCCACATGGAGTGAATCACTTCCCTAAGGACAGTCCCTACACGCTCAGGTTCTCAACCATCCACTGAGTTTCCAGAGGTTCTCAGACTCTGTTAAGCCCTTTGCCAAGTCTTCCTTTTAGCTGAAATATTCAGGGTGACAGACATAGCCCCAAGTGTAGGCTGTGGGGAATGTTTTGCAACATGTGGGCAGCCTCTCTACAGGCCCAGTGTAATAATTACCCCACTGCTGAGGGGACTCTGTCTGTGTTTATGGTAGATTTAATCATTAATAACAGTTTTCTCAGCCAGGAAGGGAAAAACAGAAAAAAAGAAATTGCCACCTTCAATAGTATATCCCAGACTCTGAATCCAGGGAATGGTAATTTTAGTGCTGTTTTCTTGTACCTGTATTACAAGCTCTCTTGAGAAACCCAGCCTAATGTTTGGAGCTACACTGAGTGGAGGCAACACTGGAAAATAAGTTGGGATTTATTTTGGGTGGTTTTGCTCGGTGTGCCGTGCAAGCCCTCTGTGCTCTGGCATTAAGTCTCCAGGTGAAGTGGGTTCCTGTGGGAGGCAGGGATCATGGAGCTGATGAAGTGTTCCTCTGCTCTCTCCTCAGCGTACCGGGGACACGAAGCCCAACTTCTTCCAGGATTGCTTGATGGAGGTGTTTGATAACTTGGAGCAGCACATCCAGAACCCTGTGGTCCTGCAATCCATCCTGAGGCTCATGGAGAGAGGCACAATGGTTCTGACCACAAACTATGATAATTTGCTCGAGATATTTGGTCAGCAACAGGGAAAACCTATGGAATCTTTAGACCTTAAAGATAGGGATAAGGTATGATGAGAGCAGTAAAATTAGTAGATTTAATATAAGACAAGGCAGCTCGAAAGCTTCATTGAAAGATATTTTCCTGTTTAAACAGTGTCAAGACTAAAGCTTGTTAATTGGTAGAGCATGTCTATAAGCTGCAGCAGATGCCCAGACATTTCTTTTATGTGTCTCTTTATTCTGAGTAATCTGGTAACAGTCACCACGGAGAATTTCAGTGACCCATTTATTGACCAGTTCCCCACATTCGCTGTGAAAAACCCACAGATTTATTTAACTTCTGTGAAGTCACTGTTAAAATCCCAAGCAGGATTTCACCTGGCTGGTGAAATTGTGCTGTTCATACCTTTCCTGTCAGTGCTGCTGGAATTTGCTGCTTGGCTGAATGCTTGTTTAGCCCCAAAAGGCAGAGGCAGCTGCAGGATCAGCTGTCACCTCTTTGTTATGATTTCAAGTGAGCTGTGTGATCAGCAATTACAATCTCTTGCTGCAGGGAAGTGCAAAAGGAGTTACTGCTGCTTTAAGTGGTTTATAAGTCAGTGCAGCTGTTTAGTTTTCCAGGATCCTGGTGATTGTGGTCCATTATAACTGTGATTTGCTTCAGGTTCTTCAGTGGGCGAGAGGCCACGTAAAATATGGAGTTCTTCACATTCACGGCTTATACACAGATCCCTGTGGAATGGTGCTCGATCCCTCGGGATATAAGGATGTTACTCAGGATCCCGAAGTCATGGTTTGTGTGATCTTTACATTTTTTACCATGTTTTGCAGAACTGTTTTATTGTAATCACTGCAGACATGTTACCTAAGGCTGGGGCTGTGTGGGGTCATATAAACGAAATACTTGGGGCCCAGAGAAATGATTCAGAATTATTCAGAAAGGCAGTGCCCTCATATACTCCTGGTAAATCACAGTCAAACCCCACAGCTGGATGTCTCAGTTGCAGTTCTTTGTATTTGTCTTAGGGAAGAACAGGAGCCCCAAAATACTGGACAGCAGGACAAGGATTCATCACCATATGATTGCTTGGATTCATGATTTAGGGGCTTAAGCTGTTACCAGCTCTGGATCTTGGACTGAATGTCATATCTTAGCTGGTTTAGGAACTCAAACATTCGGTCAAGAATATTAATTCTCCTTGTTTACAGACTGACCTAACGGGAGCCCAATATTCTGTCATCACAATTCTTTCAATTTAATTTCCCTTGCTGGCAACACTTATGTGTCTGTTTAAACTTCACAGAATGGCTTGGGTTGGGAGGGACCTTAGAGGTCACCTAGTCCTAACCCCCATGTATTTGTATAACTTGGATTTTTTTTCTTTTTTGGTAGAAACAATAGTTACAAAATGTCAGTTTGGCCTGGTCCTAAAACATTTGCTTCTTTCAGCTCCCTAGTGAAGGTTCTGCTCTGCTGCTCCTTTTCAGCCTGCCTTATTTTAGAAGTCCTGACCTTGGCTTTGCCTGCTGAAGTAAATGTGGCTTTTGTTTGTTTCTGTCCCTTCACAGGAAGTTCTTCAGAACTTGTACCGGACCAAGTCCTTCCTGTTTTTGGGCTGTGGGGAGACTCTGCGTGACCAGATATTCCAAGCCCTTTTTCTTTACACAGTAAAGAACAAAGTGGATTTAGAGCATTACATGTTGGTGCTTAAAGAAAACGAAGACCACTTTTTTAAGCTGCAGGCAGACATGCTGCTGCACGGGATAAAGGTGGTGTCCTACGGGGACTGCTTCCAGCAATTCCCAGAGTATGTCCAGGATCTCACTGCTCAGATCTGCAAGCAGAGGAGCCCAGGTAAGGAAAATCCAGGGCACGTGGCCTCCTCACCAGCACAGGCTGGATTGAACAGGTGCCCAGCAGTGCCCTGTGTGAGCCCTGCACGAGGTGCTGACCTCATGTGCAGCTCCTTGGCTCCTGAGGGACATGCAGGGAATACATGGCCAAACTGTGACCAGATCTGGTTTTTGGGAATCTGTGGATTTTGGAGGTCTGTGGATTCTTGCAACTCTAATCTTGAGTTCTGAATTTGCCTTTTTGTTAGCAGTTGGTAAAGATGTTCACTTTGCGGATTTTTTTGGCGTGAACTATTCCAGCCTACTGAGTGTTATATTATCTGAAATCTGATGTGTCAGGAGACTGAAGGAGTTGAAGGAATTACCTGGTAGGATAACCTGGTTGAGCCACAGTATCTGATCAAGCATAGAATGGGAAATTAAATCAGTGCCTCCAATAAACGTTGGGCTTATCACAGTCAGGGCTAATGGGGAGAAACAACTCTGTCACAGGAAAGAGATTCCTTTCATGTTTTCCAAACAAGGTCTGGTCTGCTATGGTTTATCCACAGAACTGAGGAAAATAACTAAATGACCTTGGGAAGAATTACTATTTGACAGCTCTTTTATTTATCAACTCAGTGAAACTGTTTTGTCTAAAATTACTCCAAGTGGTGCAGAGCAGGAACCTTCCCCTTGCTCCCCCCGAAAGAAAACTGCAGGTGCATGCCCAGATTAGAGCCTGCTTTTTGTGACCTGATGAATATTCCAGTTAGACTGCATTATGTTTTTCTTTCCATGGAGGCTAGAAAAAAATATTTAGCACAGCATGGAGGTTTCAGGACGTTTATCTGCAGTGCAGACAACTAAAAGTAAGTTGGTGTGCAGTTCCAGACACTGAACTCAGCCTGCTGGTGTTGATGGATGTACTTTTCATAGTCTGAGCAGTACCTAGAGCCTGTTCAGTCTGGAGAATCCAATTTATTGCAGAGCAGCCAGGGAGGAAGACAGGTTTGCTTAAGGTCTAAATGGAAATGACTGCAAAATGCTCCCCTTTTCCTTGGGAATTCCTGATTGGCATCAGACGTGAGAAGAGGGACCTTACTCAGACTTGAAAGCCTTGTGATCTCAGTTACAAGGTCTCTCCCAACCAAAAACCATTTGGGGATTCTAAACACAACCTTGCTGTTTTGGGATGGTGCCTAAATTATAAAAGCTTTCTGCATGGTAACCTGTGCTGCTGCTCTCTCACACTTCTCTAGATGCTGATCGGGTGGACAGCACAACCCTGCTGGGTAAGTAACATTTTTACTGTCTCAGAAAGTTCCATAATCCTACCAAAGAGAGAAAAATACATCTCTTGTTTCCAAAGTAACTAAATGATTACTGTCCACTGCTCTACTTTACCTCCCAAAGTCTGCTGCACACTCTCTTTTTTCCCCTCTGATTTTCTTTTTGCTTATCAGCAGGTAACTGCTGGGTTTCAGCTGTCAATCAAATGATAAATGATAGAAAGGAAGAGCTCCAGGAAATGTATATAAAAAGTTATTAATGCTGCCTAGAGTAGTCTAAGGTAATACTAATATCCATGAGGTTTTGACTTAGATTTCCAAGCACAGGTTTCTGTTCCAAAGCCTGCCTTAAGGAGGTCTGGAAGAATGAATCTCAAGCGTGTGGTACTGACGGTGAATTTTCAGCTAAGCTGTTCAGGGACTTTGTGATACTTTACAGAATAAGCTGAGCAATAATACATTCCAGTTTATGGTGTAAAATAGCAAAACTTCCCTTTGAAACAATGTAGAAAGATCCCACTCCTGAGAGCTCTGTGCTGCTGCAGGGAACATCAGAAGTGTATAAAAGTAGTATTCCATTACTGTGCAGGAGGGTCTTAGGCAGTGCAGGAGGAGAACCCCCCACTCTTTCCCAACCACAGAGCACACAAGGTCCCAGACACTTGTGGGCAGGTGTAAAGTCAGAGATTAGGTTTGTAATTCCAACTGGATCTTAGGCTTACTTGTCTTGCAACTGAGTTCACGAATCCCATTTTCAATAAAGTAAAATTAGGTATCAGTAAAGGAGAAACCAAAAACTTGAGCACAATTTATTCTTAACATAAAGCTCCTTACAGGTGATTTTAGCTCCTGTTTACTTGTAATTTGGAATACAGACCAAGTAAAACAGACTTTCAGCAGGGTTAGTGTTATATGTAACTCAGAATCCAAACCCAAGAACCTCACGGGACCAGGACTGTGTTTACCTTTGTATCTGGTGCTTGTAGTAAAAATTACACCAAGCACATGTATGTAGCAACAATTTGGGGTTTTTTCCTTCTCCCTCCCCAGGAACTTCATGTGTGGACTGTGCTAAAAGAAAGCTGGGAGAAAGTGGCACTGACTCTCCTAAGAGGATCAAGCAGTCAGATACACCCACCAGTGAATGAAAAAACCCCAAACACCAAAGCCCACCCCAGAAGCTTTTTAACAGTAGGTGTTTTACGTCTGCTGCATGGAAAGTTTTGAGCTGGTATTTCCATGGTTTTAAGTGGAATAAAACTGTACATATTAGCCTTTCCTTTCTAAAGCTGTAAATGTGATGTGTGTGAAGCTGGAGCCACCAGTCACTCCTCTGGCACAGCCAGACCCTCAGGCTGTACCTGCAGGGTCAGACAAGTGGGTGCAACTTCTCTCAAGCCCTTTGGACCAGACTCTGCTCAGGTGAAGCCACAAGAGAGGTAACTTTGGAATCTCTCAAAAATGCCTTTTGGCACAGAAGCCTGTGAAACCAAGGGGTTTCAGTTCCTTTCCCATCAGCTGGACTGTGGGTGTGCTGTGGAGGCTGGACTCCAGGGTCTGTCAGCACAGGGCTGCTTCCAGGCTTCAGATCCCTAAACCCTGAGGAACAGGAAGTGGTGTTCCACAGTTATGGAGCCCACAGCACAGTGACCCACCTGCTTTTCACTTTCAGCACGAGGGTTTGTTTTCCTGAGTCTGGTGAGGCAGGAAGGGCTGTGCCAGGGCTGTATCCACAGGGCTCCCTGACCTCTCTGCTGGGGGTTTCTGTGGACATGTTTTCATGCTGTTACACCACAGGCTGTGCTGCCCCTTGCCTTGGACAGCAGGTGACAGAGTCCTGCTGCAGTGGAATGAAGCCCAGTCAGTATCCTGGGATGGATCTGCAGACAATTCCTGGTGTGGACCTTTGCTGTGGGTTGAACTACTCTAAGGGTGAAGGTGGGGCACTGCAGCACCTCTTTGCCCCAGGGACTGGTACTTCTCCCACTGGGGCACCACACAGACAGAATTGTTACTTGAGTGGCTTGGAAAAGCTGATCCCACAGAGGGGCATGTTCAAGGCTGTTTGTGATTCCATTGCCTAGGGCTCTTTTTCTACTTCATTCATAACCTTTTTTTTTTTAAATGGGAGTAAGGTACTTACTGAAAACCAACCTGTTGTCCATGACATTACCCTGTTTTGCTCAAGCTGTGTAATGAATTTGGAAGGACATCTCTGAAGGTGACATACACTCTTTCAATAAAATATTTGAAGTAAACTGTTCCTGTGTAGCAGCTGTCCCCGTTCTTCAGGCTGTTCCTTTCTTCACTGCATTTTTCTGTCTCAACCACCTGTTCCCAGCAAATGGTTAAAGTCCCCCAAACAAACCAGGACTTGTGTATTAGCAGCACCCAGACTGCTGTAGGTCAGAGACCTTTGGACACCACTGAGGCTGCTCCTCCATCCACCCTTCACACTGCCAGAGGTCTTTCCACATCTGTCACTGGATTCTCAATGAAGGCACTCACATAAATTCATGCCTCAAATTAATTTATTAACGAAGTGTGGCCATAACACAAGTATTTGATGAACATCTGCCTGCAGGAGCAGTGGGCACCTGGATGTGGTTGGAATGTTCCTGTGTGCCCAGCAGGGAGCACAAGCCCAGGGCTCCCAGCACACAACAAGGCAGGTGTGTGTAGGCAGTCTGGGGGACAAAAGGAACCTGCTCTGTGAACATTACAATTATTATGAACAACCATAAACCATGGGAAGCTCTTAGCACACACAGAGGGGGAACACAGGCCAGATGAAGTGATTCCATCTCCCTCAAACAGTGTTCTGTACCCCAGCTTGGGGATCCTGTGCTAGTGAACTTGCACCCTTCATCTTTACAGCCCAAACCCCCCCGAACACTGGGGGAGAACTTTGTGTAGCAGTGTGCACAACCTCAGCAACAACCTCGGGGCTCTCACCCCTCAACCCAACTGCACGAAGGAGGAACAGCTCCTTCCATGACTGCTTTGCAAAACTGCTTCCCTTGGAAAGTGAACAAACATTCCCATATCAACCTCCACCAGCCACGTTCCAACTCACATTTGTCACAGTCAGCTGTGAACCCAGTTGCTGTTGCTGTCCCTGTTCTGTCCACGTGCTACCCCAGGACAGAGCTGCCTCTGGGCTTCTCTGCCCTGTCCTGCTGCTCCTGCTCCGGGAACTCGGTGAGATCCAGGGTCAGCACTTTGCTGAACATGATGTCATCATGCTGGGAAGGGGGAGATCACACCAGGGAACACGTTTCTCTTACTTGAAATGAGCATTTCATAAGTGTGAGAGACAACACCAGGCCTGAGCTCCCACAGGACATCCCCTGGAGCCTGTCCCTGCAGAGCAGGGCACACCCAGCCACCAAACACTGCAGGTGGGAACCAGCACTTCCACCCCCCCCCCAGCATCACTGAACAAAACCTGGTCCTAATGGATTGTTACCTCTGGACACACTCCAAGCAAGGCGTCTGCCTTGCAGAAGAACTCCTCCTTCAGGGAAATCACTATCATTTGGAACTGCTCGTGGGCCTGTTCCCTGATGAAACTCGAGACCTTTGGAAGGAAAGCAAACATTTCCTCAGTTAGTTCTGGCAGCCTGAAACCACACTGTGATCAGGGAATGGCAAGGAGAGAACTGAACTGTGAGAGCTGCTGAATTCCATCGTGAAATAAGCTGGGTAAAATGAGAAATAAACAACTCCTAAGCCAGATACTTGCCCTGGTCTCAAGACAAGCCCTCAGATCTGCTGCTCTTTGAAAACACATAACAAAATCATTCACTCCAATGAGTAAAGTTAAAGAAAGAGGCCTGTGCCAATGAAAAACAGTTTTACCTAATATAACTACAAAGGAAAGTGGAAATTCCTGAATACTTAACAAAAAAAAAAGGTGTGTAAAGTTTGTTACTGGCTACATAATAAGATCTGAAATATGTATTAGTTCACTGCAGACAGCAGTGTCCCCCAATATAAATTAAATGCTGCCTAAAGGAAAACCAATACATTTTTAATAATGTACTGGCACAGTTCTGCCTGCACAGTTCTATCTACTTGACATGGAAATAATTTTTTAATGGAAGAACTGCCTTTAGTAAGTTTCAGAATTCACACTGATTTCACAGTATAGTTCCATTTACTGCAGATCTGCTTTAATAAACCCTCAAACTGAAAGAATGGAAAGAGACTTAGCTCACACCTTCACCCTCTTCACCTCTTCTCTCACATTCACAGCTTGGGCACCAATCAAACACGCTTAGATTGAGGAATTTAAACCTCTCCCATGTCTGGTATCTCACACAACCATTACTTCAGCCCTAAGCCTAATCTAATTTAAACCAGGTTCAATCAGGGCAATCAATCTCTGCATCCCAACACCCTGCAGTCCAAGCAGCCACCCTTCTACAAAAGGTGTCAGATGCTGATAAAGGATAACTTACTTTATCAATGTTTGAGTTGTCCAGGGCAGCATCTATCTCATCCAAAATAAAGAAAGGTGCTGGCCTAAAGCTGCAGGAGGTAAGACAGTATTTTGCACTTAGAAGCCAAAATGTTAATAAACATTCTAATTACTCTCTAATAAAATTCTAGTAATATTTTGCAATATTAGATTTATATTTATTTTAATGAAATAATTAGATATTACTTATGCACTATTAAATAATACACAATAACTGAATTAACAGTTCAGAATTAACATAAAATTCTACATTTAATATATAATATTAAAGTCATGACAGGCAAAGAATAAGGTAAAGAATAAGAACTTTAGTAACGCCTGAATACTCCATTAGCAGGTTTTTTAACATGCTTGTAAATGGAACACTGTCTCTCTTCCTGTCAGGCAGATCCTTGGAGAATCCCACAGTACTTTTCCCCCCTTGGACAATCCCAGGGCAGTGTTTTTACCTGTGTATGGCAAACACAAGGGCCAGGGCTGCCACGGTTTTCTCCCCTCCTGACAAACAGTCCATGGGCATGAAACGCTTGCCAGGGGCCACACAGTTGAAGCCAATGCCTTCCAGATAGGGCTCCTCAGGATTCTCAAGGCTCAGGAATGCCTGGGAACACACACATGGCATTGTTAACAGGGACATTTATCAAATTATTGAGATGGGAATGGTTTGGGTTTAAACACTGCCTGAGCTAATGTGGAAATCAGGGAGTTGGCTTCATCCATCCATCCTGAGAGCAGCATTACCAAATTCCCAGGGAATGTGGTTTTGTTAAGGAACCAGGAGGCTCATTAACAAAACCAGTTTGGAAATGGCACCGCCTATTTGTTATTTGCACACTTTCAACTACTGAACAAACTCGACTTTATCACCTTTTATGTAACTGCTTTTTTTTAGTTATTAGAATTTTAGACTTAAAAAGCAGCTTGGAAGACAATACACTTGCAAAATTAGCCTTTTTTGTGGAAGGTTAGCTTTACAGAGCCCAGCTTTGAGCTGGAGAAAGACTTCAATAAAAGCAGTCTTTCTCCATACTTTGTATCCTGGTTCCCAGGGCCAAAAATTGAAAGTATTATTTTAAAGGAATTATCATTTTTCCAAACCACTAAAAAGTACAATGGGTACTTTTGCTACGTGGTTTGTTTTTCCCAATTATAAAAGAAACAATAAAAGAATAAAGTCTCTTCCCCTCTGCGCAGGGGGAGACAGATAAAAGAGAAATTTCCACACTTAACCCTGACTTCAAATGTCTCCTCTTGGATCACAGACACAGCAGAAGAAAACCAAACCAATACACAACGTTTGGTCACAGAAGCTGATGAATTTGATGTTTTAAAACAGAAAAGAATCCAATCCTGAACCCTTTAAACACTCCACAGTCTATGGAACTTGATGTAACCAAAGCATTAGGGAGTTCCCTCTTCACTTTTGGCACTAATATGGGTACACTAACACAGATAATTGTGGGACAATTTTTCTATGTGTTTCTTAAAAGCTGCAAACTTATTATGTCTGTGTTTCCTAAATATTTAAATGGGATACACAGAGCTTCAAGACCTTGTACAAAACACTGATTTATGATTTTGAGTTTTGTCTGTATTAATGACTGTTTTTAACTGCTTATTATCAGTATCACTAGATGTGCAAACCAGTGTTATTTTTAAATGAATTACTCAGTTACATTTCACATTTGTGTCCTGATAATTTGTAAGTCTGATAAACACAAAGAGTAAAATTACCTCACTCTGAGCAGTTCCCAATTTTATTAAGAGATTACCTTTCTCTGTCTAATGTCCAGCATGCTTTGGCTTGTCATCTCCCTGCTCTGACCCTGAACTCCTGCATCTTTATTATTTGTGCCATTTCCTTCTCCAGGACTGAGACTGTCTTTGCAAAGCCTGAGTGTCACTTTGGTACCAAAGCATCCAGTGAGGCCTCCTGGGCCAAGCCCCCGAGCCCATGACCCACCTGAGCACTGCTGTTCCTGCACAGCTTCTTGTAGATCCTGTCAATGGCTATGGAGGCGTGTTCAAAGCACCTGCTGAACAGCTCATACCTCCTCTTTTTCACCTCCTCAAATTCCTGCCTGCACGTTCTGGCCTCCTTCCTGCTGCTCTCAAAAGCTGAGGAAAACAGATCACAGGAATTCCTCTGTAAGAAGCCTCTGAGCAAATACACAGAACAAATCTATGTTGGGTACTATAAGCAGCACCAAGGAAAACACTTACTGCAGAAAAAATACACATACAGGGAGCAAAGCCAATACAAGGAGTTTCCTTCCTCTGAAACCTTTCAAATGGAGGCCCCAAAACCTGAGAAGTTGTGGTGTACTCCATCTCCTCTACACCACATTCGATTGGAGCAAGGAACAAAATTCTTCTCCTAATTCCTTCTGGAAGCTGGGCAGCCCCAAGCAGCTCCAGCATTGAGCTGGTACAGCTCCAGAACCCTTCCTGTGCTCATGGCTGCAATGCTCTCTGGAGATACTCATCAGTTTGAAGGAATGCTCGTGTCTGAGTTCTGCACAATATACACAGTTCCTTCAATTATGTAGGAAAAAATGTAAAAAATTTTAAGATTAAAAGGCAGTCATTTTCACAAAGCAAGTGAAAAGACTTTATGATGTCATTGGGGCAACAAAGTCTCTTTCCAATCATTCAATGTGTATTTCAACTGCATACTCACCTGTATGCTAAACAATTGTTTACATATCATTAAAAAATAACTGAGATAACACTTGAGCACAAAAAAATACCTTAGTATCTGAAAGAGGCAAAGCCAGCAG